GTGTGTGTGTGTGTGTGTGTGTGTGTGTGTGTGTGTGTGTGTGTGTGTGTGTGTGTGTGTGTGTGTGTGTGTGTGTGTGTGTGCATCTGAAGTGCTGTGTCACCGCTTCCCCCCCCCCACCACACACACCTCCCTGACCTGGAAGGAGATAGCCTGCGGAGTGCGACTGATGCAACCAGCTGACGCGAACGACGTAATCACAAACACACAGCGCGCGGAGAAAGTTGGACTGTGCATGTAGTCATGAGATGACGCACGAGGTGAGGGGCTGGCGACGAGTGCATGTGCAAACACATTGTGGCCGAGCAACGGGAGCACAGTCACTCATCAAAGCATCGCCATCACCACCAAATCAAACGCACTGTCCGTGTTGGGGTGCCGACAATGAGATGCGTGCAGCGCGGCGCCTGTACAACCTTCAACTTCATCTCGCGCGCTTCCTGTTTGGTGGTGGGCAAGTCATCTGTCACATGAGGGCGGTTATGATCATACGTGTGTACGCGTGCGCACAACAAAAACACACACACACACAAAAAGACACACACACACATACACGAACACACGACAGCACGGGACCTTGATGAGTTCTGGTTTGTCGACGGGCGGGACGCTCGTGAAGGCGACGCGGAAGTTTCGCGTCTTCTGCGCCTTTCAAGTGCACAAGTGCAGTGGCGATGGGGGGGGGGTGGCAGCAGCAATGATGAGGGTCGTGCACAGTGAGAAACTGAAAGGCGAAGTATACACAATCACGCACACAATCACACACACACACACAATCACTCACTCACTCATACATACATACATACATACATACATACATATATACATACATACATACATACATACATACATACATACATACACACCCTGCTCACCGATTCCATGAGGTGTGCTGACTTTTGCGGCGAACCAGGCGCCGGCAGCGGCTGTGGAATGTGTTTGTGCTGCTTGAACAGCTGTTGATTTGCTTGATTCCGCACCCACGAGGGCAAGGGCGGGCCTGCAATCGTCACGACATCGCCAGGCGCTGAGGATGTTGCTGTTGCGGCTGTTGTTGATGACGATGGCGCATCGGAGGTCATCTTGTACGGATAGAACGGCTGCTTCTCCCCCATTGCAAGCGTGTCCAAGAGCCAGCTGCGGTGCATGCAGGCAACAAGTGAGCCACGCATGCATCGGTGTGATGAAAGGGCCAGTGCAACCCGCGCGCCACTGACGAGTGCCGTACAATCGTTATCAAGCCGTGCACAAAGGTGTGGGGGAAAACACACACACACACACATGTACGCGCACGCGCACGCAGACACAAACACACATACGAACATAAAACGGGTCACGTTCACGCACCCGATGTGTACGCAAGGCACGTCACGCTCCTGTGCAAAGCGGAATTTATCTCCGGCTGCGTGTTTGCACACGAGAACGTTTGTGGAGCGCTTGAGAGCACCGCGATATTGCAGCTGCGCGTGCAAGACCTGTTGAAGCGCCGTGAAGGGTCACAGTGATGATAGGGATGGTGGAAGTTCGTTCGTTATTGTTATTGTCGTGACAGTGACAACGGTAAGGGTGAGATTGGAAGGAGGAGGCGGTGACTACGGAGGGGTGCTTTGGTTGGTTGGTGGATGCGAGAGAAACGCATGGTAGGAGGGCAGTAGCCATGCAATGGCCGGACCCATCACGTTACTACACGTGCAGTGATGTGAGCACATGTGTGTTGCTTGCTCACGAGATCAATGACGTATTGTCGTTCCAGCTCAACAAATCCCGTCACGGATACTGCTCGCGCACGCACACACGAGGGGACATAGGCCGTGAGTTGCGGGTGACACAGATGCACACGCAAACACCTTGCACGCAGAGTGCACACGCACACACACACACATGCACGTGGGCTGACCTGTGGTGGGCTCTGCGCCTGTTTTCATGGTGACGGGGCGGAAGAGAATATCACACGCTGGGTCGACATCCACGCCAGGCTGGGCAGGGTTCACAGCATGAGCCATACAGGCGCGGTTGGTCGGGAGAATGAGGTGTGAACCGAGGGGAAAACAAGTGGTGCATTGGTTGGACATGTCACACGACATGTGAACGGAAGTGGGTGGAGTTGGTGTTGGCAACACATCAAGAGTGCAGGCTCTTTGGGTTGTCACAAGCGAAAATGACCGTGTGTGTGTTGTGTGTGTGTGTGTCTTGTGTGTGTGTGGGGGGGGGGGGGAGAGTGGTTGTATGCCCACGACTGTGTACTTACGAGGCAGCGGGCGTATCGTGTCCAATATGGCGACACGAGCGTGACCCCGCGCCCCTCCAACGCCGTGCACGTCCCATCCTGGCGGTGGCGGTGGTGGTGGCCGTGGCGGACGAGGGGCATTGTGGTGGAGACATGTGAGAAAGGTGAATCGAGGGCAGCAGATGGATCTGCGCTCGTACGCGCACACTTGAAAGTACGCGCGCGCGCACGCACACACACACGCGCATCGTCGTGGTACTCACAAGCTTTGTTGTGATGCAGTGCGTGACATCGCTGCAATCCTCCCACATTACCCTGTGTTGGGTGAAGAGCAAGCACGCGATGAGGGCTTATCTCACGCGCTGTTGAGCAACAGACCTGGAAGATACCAGCCAACCGATAGCACACAAGCACACACACGTACACACAAAAACGCGAACACAAACACACACACACACACATACACACACACACATAGTCACCTTGCGCGGGTTGAGGCGATGGCAGCGGCCCACGTGCTCGCGTCCTGCACGTCCACACCGTCCAATCCCGGTGGGGGTGATCGTGTCAACGACATGAGTGACGATGATGATGTGGCTGACGTCCCAGTTGCTCGTGTGTGGCTGTTGCCATTCACTTCACCGGTGTGGAGAAGGAACACACGGTCTTTGGCGGGAACACGCCGCTGCGGCGGTGCAGCCTCGCCCTCACTGCCCTCCATCTTCTCAGCGCCACCATCATCGAACCCACCCTCATCACCCTCACCCTCACCCTCATCTTCATCTTCATCTTCATCCTCGTCATCTTGTCGTCGTTGTCGCCTTCGTCGTGGTGCTTGGCGTGCACGGCGCTTTGCAGTCACGGGCACCAAATGATATGGCCTGTCATCGACCTTGCGGCGATGTTGGGAACACTCCACGAGCCTGTCGAGACGAGCCGCGTGGGACGGTCACATTTGGGGAATGAGTAGGACACGTGGTTGCAGTGCACTGTGCAGCTAAGACCGCTACTGCCACTATCACTGTCACTGCGATTGCCATGCACACGCACACGCACACGCGCGCGCACACGCGCGCGCACATACGCACATACAAGCGCACATGCACACAAACATCCACTGTACGTCACATCAGTATCAAGGTGCTGACCAGTGTGGCGAGACGACAGGGATGCCATGCTTGCTGGCGAGCTGACGAACATCATCGATACCAGCTTCATTGTTGCCGCTGCCCTCGTCATCGCTGCTGAAGGCCTTGGCCGGCTGATGGTGTAAGTCTGGAGCGCCGGAGAGCACCACGTCGCACGACTGCAGTTTTGAGGTCACGACCGTTGCCCCGCTCGTCCGAGCCATGGCCCACACAATCGGCAGCTGCTCTGCAGTCAACTGCATGTGTCCAATACAGTGGCGTGGTGTGTGCGTGTGGTAGGTGGGGGAAGGGTGAGAGAGTGAGAGTGAGAAAGCGGTAGGCATGTGCGTGACTGATCACAGTGAAAAGGAATGATACGCGTGTACAAGTAGACGCAAACGCGCATGCAGACAGACGCACGTGTGTTGACGCGTACCTGGTGCAGGCCAATGCGGAGGCCTCGCAAGAAGGCTTGGCCAGATATGTATGGGCTGATGGGCAGCGACACCCCCACCGCACGGCGATCTCGTTCCCATGCCTTGACGCATCATCACACAGACACACATGAAGCATCACGTTAGCACCGTGTGTGCGTGTGTGTGTGTGTGTGTGTGTGTGTGTGTGTGTGTGTGATGACTCCAGCAGCCGATGACGTGTGAACAAGCAAGCAGGTCAGTTGGCTCTGCATCCACGCACCTCCATGTCAGCTGTGTGATGTTG